CTCACAACCACCACCTTGTGAGTTGAGTTGGACTGAGAAAGAGTAAATGGCCCAAAGTTACCCAGCTGGCTTTTGTAGCTAAGGCAGGATTGGAACTCCAGCTTTCTAACTTTGGTGCCTTAACCATTAGACCAAACTTGTTCACTTTTATTATTATTATATATACTTTATTCATTAAACATGAAACTCAGCCAACTGAACATTCAAAAATACATTACCAGTGATTGGTGCTAATGGTTAATACGGTTTGCTACCAGCGTTCTAGGTATCAACCAAGTACCTTCTTAAAATATAAGATGTTCCGAGTAACACAGTTTTTTTGCAGTTCCGCTGGTGTTATGGCAGGAAGCTGCAATTTGTTGATGTATCTTGTAAAATTCTTGGACATGGTGCCAAGTGCCCTGATGACAATGGGTATCACTGTTACATTATTATTGTTGTTGTTATTGTTGTTGTTAATATATATATATACTAATATATTAGTATATAGTAATTAGTATTATTGTTGTTGTTATTGTTGTTGTTAATATATTAATATATATTTACTATTATATTATTATTATTATTGCGTAGTTAATCTTTGGTGAGATTCACAGCCTTTGGGGCTGGTTGGTAGCTCAACAGCTCAAGTCCTAACTAAGGACCTAGGAACTGTTAAGGTAACATCGAAGGATGTAAGCTGTTCCAAGTAGGGTGGTTTTTTGTAGAATCAGAATGTTCAAGTCTGATAAATTTAAAATTTCCAAATATNCCCGTTGAGATCTGGACCCTCACTACTCTTCTGGCCTTCCGTAAAGCCACTAAGATCTGACTGTTCCGGCAGGCCTGGGGCTGTTGATTAGCATCCAGCCCCACTTTAAGTAGTATGTATGTTGTGGAATTTTAAATAATTGTATTATTTTTTATATATTCCCTTGTTTGTCTGTAAGCCGCCCAGAGTCCCTAGGGAGTGGGCGGCATACAAATGTCAATAAACTTCCAAACTTCCCTCCTGTTTTTCTCAAGAATTAAGTATGCACTTAAGCATAAAAACTTGCTTGGTCATTCTGAGCCAGTCATTCTCTTTCAACCCAACCTATTCACATGGTTGTTATTGTGATGAAATTGGAGAGGAAAAGAGTATGTTTGCTGCCTTGAGCTATTTATAAAAATAATAAAGGCACTATAAAAATTAATTTATTGATTAGTTAATTAATTAATACTGGCAAATAAAAAGTGGACACATCAATATTCTGGATTTTTTTTCTACTTTTCAATGTAGACTACAATCCTGGTGATTTCCCATGTAAATACTAATCAGGTTGGAGCCTTCGTAACTTTTTTTATAATTTTTATTTTCATACTAACCCAAAGTTATTAGATATATCCACCTAGCTAAACATTAATTAAAACAAACAAAAAACCAAATAAATAGGCATAAAATGTAAGGAATGTAAGGAAAATAACATATCCCCAAAACAATTAAAAGGATGAACAACATCCTTTGCATAACAATACATTAATTTTATAGAATTTAAAATTTAAATTTCAGACCCCTAAGAATTTATTCCAATAAGATTTGAACTTTAAATATCAAAGTTTGAACTAGTGGATCAAATAATCATACTGATGTCAAATAGTTCTAATGAAGCTACTCAGAAAGACATAAATTAAACACAAGAGTAAGTACATTATACATGCTTTGATCCTATACTCATTTTACTGTTTAAGTGTTAAGGGAGAAGAGAGCAAAAGAAGATCGAGAGAAGAATAAAAGGAGGAAACATCTATGCAGCTGGGTTTGATCTAAAGATTGTCTGATTCAACAACCGATGTCATAAGGAAAATTAGATCCCCATGGGAAACCTGTGTGCAAGACATTAAGAGTATAAGCCTCTCTTGCTACTATTATATTAATAAGTGTTCCACAATGAAATGGGAAATATATAATGTGAAGCTATTATGGCCAATAGCCACTGAAAGAATATATTTAGTGATTTGTCTAATCCTCATCAAAAGCTGTTTGTGTGAATAAATATTTCCCATCCTACATCTTGTCTATTTATTTTCATTAGCTAAATACAGGCTCTAGTAACATGAGAGGAGAGAGAGAAAAGCTGCACATACCTGCATAAACCCATTTTAATGCTCCTACTAATATACTATGAAGAAAAGCAACAGTAAAAGACGTAAATGTGTGGGTATGTATAAAAAACATACCCTCTTTTTCTTGAATTTATAGTCAAAAGAGATAATAATTATGATGATTAAAGAACCAGTAAAATAAAGGCACCAAAAAGGAATGGATCATTAAATCTGCAGAGCAGTTTTTACATTTCTGTTCATAGCTACATCAAAACAAATTTATGGATTAGGATAAATAAATACCCAGGTAATGCCAGGTTATCAGATAGTGGAATATAAAACAAGAACAAAGCTCACTCCCTACTAGCACTGATGTTACCTACTTTGGGTAACAAAACATTTCAAGAAAACAACCAAGCTCAGAGAATAGAAAAGACTCCTCATTTCAATCCTGAGTTACAAATATTCTCCTTTATCAGTAGTGACCTTCAACAAAAGATCTTTGTCAGCTGAAATGCATCTTTTCATTATAATTAGAAATGCACACTATCCTTACATTACCACTTTACCTGTTACTATGAGCTAGAACTTTCATTAAAAATAATCATAGTCTTCAGCCTCTCTTTGATATCTTGTCTTTTTCTCTGGCTTCCTCTATGCTGTTTTGTCTTGGGAATTCTGTTGCCTACAACAAACTCTATCGAAGTCACTGCCAAAATTAATTTTTAATGAAAAGAAACTGTATTCAGTCAGTTTAATTAATTCAGTTTTTGACATGACGTTATTCAAGTTTTGTCTTGTTCTTTTCCATTTTTAGAAGTATTGGCCCAGTGACATATCCATCAAAACCTTAGTTAGCTTGTCTCTAAAATTAGACTGTTTGGCCTAGTACTTTCCTTCTTTTACACCTTTCGATTCAACTCCTTACAATTCTCTTTTAGCACATGACATCAGGCTCAATTCCTATCACAGCCAATGGGTGAACACTTTGTCAATAAAAACAACAACAACCAGATACTATACTTGCAGTAAAACACTAGGAAGAAGGAGAAAAAAGTACAATGCAAATGTTAGATGATGAAGTCTACTTTATGGAATCTTAGGCTGTTGTTAAAACTTTCAGAAAACTCCAGTTCAGTTTTTACAACATGTAGAGAATCAATAAAATTTTCTTTGCTTAAGACTTGTCAGCCATACTAGGTAGCCCAGACCAGAAACATGGCCAGATAAGCTAATTCTACTTTATTGTAAAGCTATCTTAAGAAAATCCTGCAAGTCTGAAAGTATAATTCTCATGCTGTCACCTTCACAGTCTTAATGGTCCAAGCCACCCTGCCAGGTATGGCAAACCCCTATTGGAGTTTGACACACAGCTCAATAATGTAAGGAGTGTTCTTCCTGCGTCTCTTGCTCTGCCCGCTATGCAGCTCTGGACTATGATCCCTCTTATCTGATTATTGGTTAGGAAGCATCTCTTCACCTTTTCTACCAAGGTTATTCCCACATACCACTACAGAATACAGATGCAACTAGCATGTCCAATCTCCTTGTCAACAAAAGGGCATATAGTCCAGGCTATGCTTTTCCCAGTTGCAACGTATGGCTGTGAGAGTTGGCTCATAAGAAAGGCCGAGTGCCAAAGAATTGAGGCCTTTGAACTCTGGTGCTGGAGAAGACTCCTGTGAATCCCTTGGACTGCAAAGCAATCAAACTGGTCAGTCCTAGAGAAGATCAACCCTGACTGCTCTTTAGAAGGCCAAATCCTGAAGATGAAACTCAAATACTTTGGCCACCTAATGAGAAGGAANAACACTGCAGGAAAACGTGATGAAATCCAGCATTTATTTTATTTATACTATTACTTTCATGCACAGGCTCAATAATAATTTAATTTAAAGCTTTAACACTCTCACACTCTCTCTCTCTCTCTCTGTGTGTGTGTGTGTGTGTGTGTGATAAAACTATATAATGCTATTTGAGTTAGAACATTTCATTTTAAAATTATTTCATTTAATGACATAATTCATTTCATATGCTATTCCTTTACTGAGGAACTTTGGGAGATGAAGAAGATACATCTCAAACATCATTAGAAGAAGACCAAGGCCTTTGTGAATGGTTTAGTGAATGTGTTAGTGGTGGGTTCACCATCTTGTTCTTTTCTTATCCTATTTGTTTTTGTTGGTTTTATGTTTTCTGAACTATATTGTGCTTTTTTCTACTTGTCATATTATGAACTACCTAGTGTCAGTCTAAAAACCCCTTCTAAATCAATTAAATTGAATTCATGTATTAACTTTTATATTTGTACAATATATTTAGAATATCCTTTCATTTACTGATTCTTCAAACACAGGAAAAGATAGATTGAGTGCTTATGTTGGGCACTTATTAACTTTACCCAACAAATCTTGAGAAACTAATCTCAAGTGAATTTGGGGGAAATTTTAAATTGCCAGGAATTTTTGAAATGTGCTGGACTTGGTTTGCGAGCCCTTAAATAGTTCAGTGGATTAGCTGAAGAACTATCTAACCCTTACATTCTAGAAATGATATCCTGCAGATAGTACACCAACTTGCTGATGCTAAAATATGGAGATGGGAATGTTAGGAAATGACATCTGTTGGGCACAACTGTCATGTTGAAGTTTAATACAAAATCATTATGTCTTTCAGATTGCATTATTTCAAATTCAAAGTGAAGTTTAGCGCTCAGTTGAGGAAGGCAAAAGAAATCTGAAAAAGAATTCTTTTTTCCCATTTTCAGTTGTATCATTTGATGGGTGTCTGCATTTATCAGCAATCTTCACTACTTCAAACAGCCGCTTTTTAGTCAACTTGTCCCAACAGAATCCACGAGACCAGTTTTCTTTTCAGTGACAAGCACCGAAACTAAAAAGATTTGAAACTTAAAGAGTACTGTTGTTAAAAATTACCTTCTCTTGATACTGACGTCGGGATGAATCCAAAGACTGAATCAGGGCTGTGGCATGTCCAACAAACATTGCGTAACAGGTGGCCCCCACAATCATGCTCAGCATGGTTATCCAGAGATCTGACATGCTCACGGGGGCTCTGGCTCCATATCCAATGCAAAGCATATGGCTCATAGCTTTGAAGAGTGCATAGGAATACTGCTTCCCCCAGGAATTATTCTGTAAAAGAGGAAGGGAAGGGTGAACAGAGAGAAATGCTTCAGAACACAGAACAAAGGAAACTAGATTTAGGAGGATAACAGCCTTCTTACCCAGAAGAAACATCCCTGTATTACAGCCTTCTAAAATAAATAAATATCTTGGAGAAGTAGGTTGAGATTCATATAATCACAAATCAGGCATTTACACACCATGAACTTTCCTCTTTCAAAAGGATGGCAAGCAAGTATTCAAGGGTCTCAGAATTTATAGTGCATTTTCATATAGGAAAGATAAATGCTACATACAGTATGTATTACAAAAGTATTATATGATTATTTGCTCACACACAGAGACATGGGTGTATGTGCCATCCATGTATGTCTGTATGTTTATGTATGTATCTGTATATATGTATGTAAATACATCAACACAAAAATGCACATGCACACTAATGTATTAATTTTTTTAGATAGCGTTGACTATGCTATTAGAACAACTGCCTGTATCTTCCTCTCCTCACGCCCCTTCAGGTAATATGTAGCAAATGTTGATAGCACAATATCTGTTTGGTACAGAACTCATAAAATTATAGGAATATATCCTGCTTTGGGATTCTAATTTGATGGACACAATACAAGTTATTCTGAATTCTTTCACGGGACACAAATATCTATGAAGTAAAATTAGATAGCCTAACTTTATCAAATCCAAGATAATTTATCTACTTGAATTATCATAGTGTTCCTTGAAATGTTCACTTTGGTTCAAGGCACATGAACAAGAAACATAAAATAAAATGCTTAAAGGAAATCCTGAAATCTCAAATGCTCAGATAGTGCTCTCCTTCATGCATCTTTTTCTACCAGTTGCATTTCATATCCTTTAATTCCAATCTCGTTAAGTCTTGGGGGGGGGACGGAACTCTATTCAGACTCTTCATTTAAATATGCCATATCACAAATGTATTTTCTTGGGGGGATGTTGATGGCGATGTGATAGGCATCCCTGTTTCATTCCCAACCTTGTGGCATTTTGAAGTCCGCTCTATACCTCTAAAATCCTCCATATCTTCTATGGATTGTTGCAGAGGCTGAACAACAGTTCAGCAATGGATATAGAAATCTATGCATTTAATTGAGATAGTTTGGAAGGTTTTTTTCATACGGGGAGCAATGCAGTGGTGGGATTCAGCCAGTTCGCACCTATTTGGGAGAACTGGTTGTTAACTTTCTAAGCAATTTGGAGAACCAGTTGTTGGAAGAAATCTTATTTTGTTTTCCCCCCCCCCCCACTTTACAGGGCTAATCCTGTAAGGAAGACAGGAAGGAAACATTCTGGTGTTGTTTCTAGCCTAATCTTTATTGCGTTGCTTACAGAAACTGCCTCTCCAGTTAACCCTTATTACATTGTAACAGTTAAGGTGAAGCGCCCATTGACCTGAGTGACATTGAGTTGGCCACGCCCACCCAGTCACATGACCACCAAGCCATGCCTACCCAGCTAGTCATTAGGGCAGAGAACCGATTGGAGCAATGACGTTGGTTGAATACATAGAAACATAGATATTTTCTTGCTATTTTCCTCTCTTCTTTACCCCTCAGAATCAATCAGGAGAATTTAAAGGCCCAGCATAATTGTTCATTCTAGTTACTGAAATCAGCAAGTATAAATTAGAAATACATATTTCCAGTTGCTTAATGCCTCTTTCAATAATAGTTCACAAAGAAATAATTGGGTTTTTTAAAATAGAAAATGAGATCATTACAACCAAATTTATATTTGTTTGCATGGGTTCAAACATGAACATAAGATCTCAGCATGAAAAATATTCAGTATTGGGATGCATGCAAGTGTCCAATAATATATATTATAGGACACTTTTCTTAGTATTAATAACTTTTAAAAGCTTCTGAAACATTGATAAATTTAAAAAACACTTTCTGTTACTCAAAATCCTATTTTTTTTCTCCTCAAAGGGGAAAAACAATACACTATAAATGCCACAAAGAAGGCATTTAATTTTGTACCTTACAGTTATCACTGCCTTCAGATTAGTAGTAATCCATTTTAACTGAATTAAACAGAGAAACATTAATCCAAGGAGGGAAATAAACTATTAAAGACAGTAATTGTGACAAATACCAGAGCTGTTTATCCGAGGATTGATTATATAATCAAGCCTGAGGGTACCAGAAAATCTTCACATTTGTAAAAAAGCAGTGATCACTGATTATTTGCAATTAGTCTACCAAGTCTAAGCCTTAATTTAGAAGTCTTCTTCAGCAAACTCTATTTAAATACAGCTCTGTTCTATGTTTAAAGGTCTGTTGTACTCTTCTTAATCAGGAAGATGTTTCCTTCTAAATATTGGCCTCATACAGCTAAGGGACAACTAAGGGAACAATCCTACTTTTGCTGGGAAATCATCTGTGGGAGCATAAGACACCCACTGCTAGCAGAGAAAAGGATTATATCTTATTTCACAATAACTTCTACTGATGTTCATGAGAGGGCTGTTGAAGTTCAGCAGTTGTAAACTCCAAAACTGAGTCCATTCGTTCTGCAAAAACTGGGCTGAAATAATGACAGCTGTGGGATCAGGGTTCACCGACAAAAGGGCGTCCGACAAAAGCACGCCCGACTAAACCGCGGTGACAAAACCGAGAGTTCTAAACTGCACCAACGAATGAGCGCTGAAGCGCGTTGACAACAGCGCGCTGACAGAAGCGCGCTCTAAACCTAATCCTAACCCTAATCCTAACCCTAAACCTAACCCTAAACCTAATCCTAAACCTAAACCTAATCCTAAACCTAACCCTAAACCTAACCCTAACCCTAACCCTACACCTAACCCTAACCCTAAACCTAACCCTAAACCTAACCCTGACCCTAACCCTTACCTTAACTTAAATTGCACTTCTGTTGGCGCGCTGTTGTTGGCGCACTGTTCTCGGTGCGTTGATGACGTTGCGTTTTTAGTGCCGTGGTTTTGTCGGCACGCTTTTGTCGTGCACGCATTTGTCGGGTCACGGGGATCAGTACTGTTACTATTCTTCCTTTGAACCCAATTGGGTTCAAAATAAAAGAATGATGGGTTGTGCCCAGTTTTTGCTAAGTCAGCGAGCCTTCAGACCAAGAACACAATTCTTCCATTATCCTACAGACTCTGCCATCATGCAGGTCTGAAAATAAGATTTAGATTTTTTTTTTGTCTGCTATATCCTACTGGCTCTTCTGTCAGTTCACTTCAATAGATCCTACTATAACAAAGTTCGGTTAATTCGAGGCCTCAACAAATACACGAATCTTGATTCAGATATTGTTTTATATCCCTGTTTTAGAGAAGGTGTGGATAACTTGATCATAACTGTGATCAAGTTAGTGTCAATCCTGGAGCCATCTCGGAACACTTTCAGGATTGCCACGGTGAGGCTGTATAGAACTGTGGGAAAGGGAGGGGAGAGTAGAGATAGCTGGGGAAATATGTAGCCAAAATAATATTCTTTCTCCTGAGAGTCAAGGACACTCTCGTCAGCACATGGCGGGGGCGTGGATGGGAGTCATCCGGGTCTAGGACTGTGACCTGATTGGGGCGTGTGATGGTTGTATGTAGTGCGGGGGGGGGGGAAGAGAACTTTAGATTTTGATTTGGGTGGGGGAAATCCAGAGAGCTCCAGAGTCTGGTTTTCACCAGCTGTGGCAATATGACATGCCTAATAAATCTATACTTTGAGGAAACCTCTGGCCTTGGAGTTTTGATTTCATCCGGGCTGCTACTTGGAACCTTGAGAGTTAGATTCTTTCTTCTTAAAAAGAGGGGAAGGGGGAATCTACACATGTACTGTGTAGTACATGAAAACATGATAACAGTATCTGTTATGTTGTTGTTGTTAGTTGCGAAATCATGTCATGACCCCATGGACAATGTTTTCCAAGGAACCTGAGGGTAGAACAAGAAGCAATGAGTGGAAACTAAGCAAGGAGAAGCAACTTAGAACTGAGGAGAAATTTCCTGACAGTTAGAACAATTAATCAGTGGAACAGCTTGCCTCCAGAAGTTGTGAATGCTCCAACA